AAAAGTCGAGAATTCCCCCGAGCGGACCAATATATCCAACAGTCATCTATTAAAAATCACAAAAAAAGACGTTGAAAAATAAGTTTCCAAGTGGAGCTCTTACTTTGTTAGCTCTGGCAGACAGAGAGGCACCTGGGAAATCTGAGCTGACGCTAACAGACAGCAGAAAAAACTAAATCGCTTTCTAAAGCGAATTAGCCCCGAATATCAGAAGAACCCCACTCTGACTGCACAGCCGGCCAAGAAACATATTTGTCTTCCATTTGTGAGAAAGTGGCAGCAGAAAGACTCCAGGGCTGAATATTACTCAACAACAAGACTCCAGCAGATCAAAACGTGCGCTGAAGTCAGATTTAAGAGCCTCATGTTGGTTCCTGCTGCTAAATTTATCACACAAAACAAATGTGAGATTAAAGCCACCGTTTCAAATCAAACTAGAGAAACTGCATTCCTGTGAAAATGCAGCATTGCAGAAGAACTTGCTGAGAAATAGCTGAAATTAGCTAAAACATGCTAAAATGTAGCTGAAAAGGAAGAACAAGCGTGAACAAGCAGAAGAAAGCAGAACGAACACACAGTTGATGAATTAGGTTTAAATAAGTAGAAATATGCACAAAAATTAGGAAATTAACAAAAATAAAAGCTGAAATAAGAGAAAAAAATAGCTGAAAAGTATAGCTGAAAATGCAAAAAGAAGCTTAAACTACCAGAAGAAAGTGGAAAGAGCTGAAATGAGCTAGTTAAAGTTACTAAGGCTGAAAGTAGCAGAAATGACAAGAAAAATTTGAATTTATATGAAAAAACTGAAATTATCTTTAAAAAAAAAGGCCAAAAAAGGTATCTGAAAGAGTACAACAAACTTAAATAAAGCAGAACATGTTTGCCCAACTAGGATGAAAGAAGCAGAAATGAGCACAAAAAGTGGAAAATACCTGAAAGAAACTGAAATTAACAAAAACAGCTGAAATAGCTAAAAAGGCAGAGAAAAGCTTAAGTTACCCGAAGGAAGTGGAGAGAGCACATGTTTACTGAATTAGGCTGAAAATGTTGAAAAGAGTGCAAAAAAAGTGGAATTAGCTGAAAGTGATTAAAATTAGCATAAAAACAGCTAAACAGTAGCTGAAATAGTAGAAAAAGCTAAAACTTGCAGAAATGAGCTGAAAGGAGGCAAAACAAGCTGAAATTATCAGAAAGAAGTTAGAAGAAGCACAAAAATGTTGTAGTTAGCAGAAAGAATCTGAACGGAGCACAAAAGGATCTTTTCACGTATTTATTTATTTAATTGTTTATTTTACAGTTTTTGATTTTCAGGTTCTTGTCATTTCTATAAATGATCCAAAAACACTTTAAACTTAGGAAGAATCACTCAGGAGCCAAAATAATTTTTGATAGAAGCAGCATTTAGTGTAGAAAATTTTATTACCATTGTTATGTTATTATCATTATTATTATTATGCTTTTTACAACTTAATCTAAATAAAAAAATAAAAATCTTGTTGCTTTTCTTGAAAACCTCATAATCAAGATACATTCAGATCCATCCATGCAGTGGAAAAGGTTTGCAGGAAACAGGAAGTTAAAGAAAAGCCGTCACCCTCCAAGCACAGAGTTAACCTGGAAAATTACAGCTTTATTGAGTTTAACACCCTCCCACCCCCACCTGCAGGTTGGAGGTGAATTTTTGGCTGCATCGTCTGAGGCCCATGAGCCACCAGTTGATAAATGTTGGTGACTGTCAGTCCTTCAGCTGTGATCGGCTTTAATTCTGGCCCTTGGAGCTGAATGACGGACTGTCCCGAGTCGTTACAGCATGTTTTTATAAATTATAGGACGGAGCATGTTGCTCTGAATGATCAGGAGCGCATTCAGGTCAGTGTTAGTCCTGAACAACAGGAACGGTCTTTGTTTTGGAAAACTTCTCCATAAATAGAAGCTGGAAAATTCATTGTGTGTTTATTCCAAGCAGACCAAATAAGGGGGGGTTCTTACCGAGCGAGAGCCTCAGAGGTAAAAATAACCGACCCTCAGCACTGAGCGCAGACACAGTTCAAGATTCAGATGATCAGATTTGAACTCTCCATCACACTGAGACAATAAACGAGGCCGACATGAGGAATGTAGAGGACTCCAGAACTGTGAAAACATTTTGAAGCACAGCTCAGACTCCTACAGACGATTTATGTAGATTTAAATCACACGTGGCCCGTTAATCAAATAAGCCCCACGAGAGACAGACATGATTCAGATTTTAAAATGTAGAACTGGAACAGTTTTTCTGCTCTGAGTTGTTGACCGAGTTGTTCTCAGTCAGTGTTGGGCTTTCAACAGCAGAGGGAGGAAAAACATCAAAAATGAGGCAGAAGGACAGAAGGAGTCTGGTTCTGAAGTCCAAGAGTTCTTCTTGTTGAAACGAGTTTAAAACAATCAAGAAGAAAAGCGATCCCAAGATTGTTTCACTTTTATACAGCGACCCAACAAAACAAAATAGAGAAATTACATTTTCTCTGAAATGCAGTGTGAATGATTATTGCTGAAGAACAGCTGAAATTAGCTATAAAAAAAACATGCTGAATGAAATATAGCTGAAATGGAAGAACAAGCCCAAGTTAGCAGAAGAAAGGAGAAAGAACACATATCTGCTGAAAAAGGTTTAAATAAGCAGAAATTGGCACAAAAATTAGGAAGATGGCTAAAAAAAAGCTGAAATTAGCCATAAAAAATAGCTGAAAACAGCTGAAAAGGCAGAAAGAAGCAACTACCAGAAAGAAGTGGAAGGAGCTAAAATTAACCAAAAATGTGGAATTAGATGGAAAAGCAAAATTTAGCACAAAACAATTAAATAGGAGCTGAAATAGCATAAAAAGCTGAAAACTAGCAGAAATAAGCATGAGCATAACAAGTTGAAATTAGCAGAAAGAACTTAATTAGGTAGAACAAAGCAGAAATTACCACGAAAAACTCGAATTCAATTGAAAACAGCTGAAATTAGCAAAGAATGCTAAAAGAATAAAGCTGAAAAGGTATAACAAGCTTACATTAGCAGAAGAAAGGAGAAAAAACATGTTTGCTGAAAGAAACTGAAATGAGCACAAAAAGTGGACATTATCTGAAAAAAAAGATAAGATTAGCAAAGAACAGCTGAAAAGTAGCTAAAAAGCAAGAAGAAGCTTAAACTAGCAGAAGGAGAGAGCACATTTTTGCCAAATTAAGTTGAAAAAAGTTGAAATGAGTGACAAATGTGGAATTAGCTGAAAATGCTAAAATTAGCATCACAACAGCTAAAATGTAGCTGAAATAGCAGAAAAAGATGAGAGTTTAAATTTGTAGAAGGAAGCTGAAAGAAGCTGAAGCAGAACAACATGTGAAAGGAGCAGTTAAAGGTTGTAAACAAATCTAAAGATTTGAAGGATGTAAAAGGAGCTCAATTCATTTTCTATGAGAAAAAAGTCAAAAAAGGTTAAATATTTCAAAAAGCTAAAGTTGCAACAATACCAAAAGTCATAGCAGGATTGTCCTGAAAGAGCTGAACATTTTACTGAAATTTTATACTTTTCAAATATTTCACTTTATTTGGATTTTTCTTTAAATTCCTACAAAACTAACCTGCTTCAACAAACTGGTTCTGTTTTAGCTTTTTATTAAACTTTTAGCTCCTAAGCTTTAAGCTATAATTCTGCCAATTTTAACTTAATTTAGCTGCTCTTAATCTATCATTTAGCTTCTTTTAGCTATTGTTCTGCTGACAGTGACAGTGAATGACAAAGATGAACATAAATCTCTCAAAAAGTTCATCTTGAAGCTTCATAACAATCCATTACTAAACATTTAATATTTTAGTGTTGTTATATTTCAAAAACTAAAATTGTTTTCAGCTGAGCTGATATTTAGAACGACACAGTAAATCTTGAGCTAAATAATCCAAATTCTGTATTATTATTGTTAAATAGCTATAAAAGAAAAGCATTTAAATGTTTGACCTGTTTTCAGTCAAAACTGACTTTTAGGAAATGTTGCATCTTATCATCATGAACACTCACTCATGTTTTACTATTTGTGAGCAAAATAATAACCAAGACACATACATGAAATATAGATTTATTTCTGCCAACAACTGCTTTATTACACAGTAATATTCCATCACGAGCAGAACAAACCATTCTCAGAGAGAGGAAAATAAAACCGCTCAGATAATCCAGTTTCTGCTGGAGCATTAATAAACCCGTAAATCTCCTTTTTGATTCATTTATTTTAAGAAAAAGTGAATTCCAGTGAATTGAAACAATAAAGGGCAGCACGGTGGCACAACTGGTAGAGCTGCTGCCTCTCAGCGAGCAGGTCCCTGGTTCAAATCCCAGTCCGGGGCCCTTTCTGGGGGGAGTTTGCATGTTCTCTCCGTGCATGCATAGGTTTTCTCCAGGTACTCCAGTTTCCTCCCACAGACCAAAAACATGCATGTTAGACTGATTGGTAATTGTCCCTAGGTGTGAGTGAGAAAGTGAATGTTTGTTTGTCTCTATGTGTCCCTGTGATGGACTTGCGACCTGTCCAATGCGTCCCCCGCCCCTCGCACAGTGATTGCTGGACATGGGCACCGGCGACCCCCGTGACCCAAAATGGAAGAAGCAGGTAAAAGATAATGGTGGATGGATGGATGAAACAATAAAAACACCCTAAAAACTATTTGTTCGAGTAAACTAGTGCAAAACACGGATGGCATCATGAGCAAAAAGAAGCAGCTTGTTGAACGATCAGCAACAGAGTTCATGGAAACCTGCAGAGGTCCAGAAGAACCTGAACGGTTCTGGTTGGTACAGCATGGATCCACAGCAGCCTTCTAACAGGGGTGGGCGCTCACGCAGGTCCGGCCTGAGGAAACTGGGTGATCAAAACAAGCAGCGACCTACAGCAAGACATGCCCCCTCACCAACCCCCCCCCCCCCCAAAACAAAACAAAAACAACAACAAAAAAACAGCAATCAATGCGATGAAGGACCTCCCGATCACTTCTTCTGGCAGTAGTTGGAGTACTCGCTGCAGGCCTTCTGCAGGTCTTTCAGGAAACCCGGGACCCCAGACTGTTAAAAATAATAATAATAATAATTAATTAATAATAAACTGTATTTCCTGCTAAAATGCAGCATGAATGCTTATTGCTGAAGAACTTGCTTAAAAAACAGCTGAAATTAGCTAAAAAAATGCTGAAATGGTAAAGCAAGCCAAAGTTAGCACCAGAAAGAACACATATTTACTGCATTAGGTTTAAATAAGCAGAAAGGAGCACAAAAAACTAAGAAACTAGCTAAAAAAAGGCTGAAAAATAAATAAAAAAACAGCTGAAAAGGCAGAAAGACTTTTGAACTACCAGAAGGAAGTGGAAGGAGCTGAAATGAGCTCAAATAAATGTGGGAAAGCTGAAAAGGCTAAATTTAGCACAAAAACAGCTAAATCGTAGCTGAAATAATAGGAAAAAGCTGAACTAGCATAAATAAGTTGAAAGGAGCATATAACAAGCTGAAATTAGTAGAAAGAAGTTCATTAGGTGAAAAGAGCAGAATTTACCATGAAAAACTTGAATTTATCTGAAAACAGCTGAAATTACCAGTAGCTAAGAAATGCTAAAATTGTAGCTGAAAAGGTAGAACAAGCTTAATTTACCAGAAGAAAGCAGTTTGTCCATTTAGGCTGAAAGAAGCAGAAATGAGCAGAAAAAAAGTGGAAATTATCTGAAAAAAGCTGAAATTAACAAAATACAACTAAATAGCTAAAAAAGTAGAAACGTAAATGACAAGTGGAGAGAGTACATTTTTGTTGAATTAGGCTGAAAAAAGTTTAAATGAGGGCATATAATGTGGAATTAGCTTAAGAAACTAAAATGAGCATAAAACAGCTGAAATAGTAGAAAAAGCCGAAACTTGCAGCAATCAACTGAAAGGAGCATAACAAGCTGAAATTAGCAGAAAGAAGGTAGAAGAAGCACAAAAACATTGTAGTTAGCAGAAAGAATCTTAACGCTGCACAAAACAGCTGAAATTCGCTGAAAGTAGCTGAAAAAAGTTTAAATTTGCAGAAGGAAGCTGAAAGAAGCTGAAGCAGAACAAAATGTGAGAGGAGCAGTAAAAGTTTGTAAACACATGTAAAGATTTGATGGAAAATGAGCTCAATTCATTTTCTATGAGAAAAAAATGTCAGAAAAGGCTAAATATTTCAAAAAGCTAAAGTTGTACCAATACCAAAAGTCATAGCAGGATTGTCCTGATAGAGCCGAACGTTTTGATTCATGATTTGTTGAAATAGCACAAAAATTGTGGAACAAGAAAGATGCTGAAAAATGTACGGAAGAAAAATGGATCACATAATGCTTCATAAACATTCACACTATGAAGTCAACACGAGGAGCCAAGAAGAGCCACTTAGGAGGGGCAACATGAGGGGAGCTGTTGACGTCAGCCCGCAACACATCAGCAAACAAAAACAAGAGAAACATGGAGCGGGAGGAAGGGAGGGGGCTCGCCAGGTCAGAACCGGATATTCTTTTGTAGAAAAGAAAACGTATCTGGTGCAAAACTTTCCCAAACACATAAAATACTCTTTTAAATGTTTTGTTTAGTGGCTCTTCATATATATTTAATCCTGGGAGTGTTCTAAACACGTTCTGTAAAACACTTCATGTGGATCGTTTTACCTTAGCGGCCCAGTTCACCAGCCAGGTGGGAATCAGACCTCCAGGGTTGTCAAAGTAGTTCATGAACACTGAAACACACCAAGTCAAACCTTATGGAGGAACAGCAACCAGTGCACGATTCAACATGCTGGAAAACTGCATTACCAAACATACTCCAAGGCCCTGTTCACACCTGACATTAGCATCCGTCCTCAGAGACCTGATTGTATCTAGATGGTTTCAAACACAGATGAAAAAGCTCCTAAAGAGTCAGTTCAGTTGATTTATGAAGCTCCGACTCACAACAGATGTCGTCTCAGGGCACTGAACAGAAACATTCACAAACATTATAAAAGCCAATTGGTAAAAATGATCTATCTGAGGAAGCAGCAGAATGTGTTGAATCTTCACTTTGTCACAGTCTCTCATCCTGAGCGAGCACAAAGGAGACAGTGGAAAGGAAAAACTCCCTTTAACAGGAAGAAACCTCCAACAGAACCAGGCTCAGGACGAGCGTTCATCTGCTTCAACCGTCCGGGTTTGAGAGGACAGGAAGTAGAAACAGACACAGAATTACAGGTCCAGGTGTACTTTCTATAGTCCAGGTGAACTTTCTATAGGAGGAAAGATACAAAAAAGCATGTTAAGATAGAAATAATTACAAATACAAACAGGAAGAGTAGAGCAAGTAAAGACAGCAGAGAGAGGACATGTGCTTAGTTTGTCCTCCAGCAGTCTAAGCCTATAGCAGCAGAACTAAGGGATAGCTTAGGAAACCCAATCCAGCTCTAACTATAGGATTTATCAAAAAGGAAAGTCTTAAGCCCAGTCTTAAAACTGGACAATGTATCAGTTTCACGAACAGAAACTGGAAGTTGGTTCCACAAGAGAGGAGCCCGATAACTGAAAGATCTTCCTCCCATTCTGCTTTTGTAAACTCTAGGAACCACAAGTAAACATGCAGTCTGAGAGCGAAGTGCTCTGTTAGGAAAACATGGAGCAATAAGATCTGTAATATAAGATGGAGCTAGGTTGTTGAGAGCTTTGTAGGTTAAAAGTAAGATTTTGAATTATATTCTGGACGTGACGGGAGACAATGGAACAGATAAACCGTTGCAATAGTCCAGTCTGGACGTAACAAATGCATGAACCAGTTTTTCTGCATAATTTTTAGATAAGCTCTTTCTAATTTTAGTGATATTACGCAGGTGGTGGAAAGTGGTTCTGGTAACGTTTTTAATGTGGGGGGTTAAACGACATAAAAAATAAAGATATCTTCACCTAGACCACCTTGAGAGGTGGTCTGGACCTCGTAGATCTACATTAGTTTGGTAGTCTGACCAACGTGAGCCTAAGCTCAGGACCACCGGCTGACTCCACACAAGCAGCAGACACGTTTGAGCCGATGTCTTGGGTAAAAAAAATAAAAATAAAAAGTCTGTCCCAGCTGCTGGTGTAGAGACAAACGGCCATGAAAAGTGATGTTATGGTTAGTCAAGGCCACCGTGACCCAGAGGAAGCAGAACGTCTACCAGTGTTTTAAAACACGTTTGTTAGAGAAGATATTGTCTGTGTTTAATGTCTGATTATGGCTTAGAGACAACAAAGACAAAACGTCTCACTGTTGCTCCTCTCAGAGACAAATCCAGACTCAAGACTGTCCAAACCACCTCGCTTCAGTTCCACTAAAACCACGGCTCTCTCTAAAATATGCTTTAGCTACTAGCTCAAGTTTTGTCTTCTTAAACTCCTTTTAGCTACTGTTCTACTACTTTTACTTTTTAGCTATTGTTTTAAAATTTTTACTTTTAGCTACTGTTCTGCTACTTTTACTCTTTAGCTACCATTCTGCTCTTTTTACCATTGGCGTTTACCTACTGTTCAGCTACCTTTTTAGCTACTATTCTGCTATATTTACTTGTTCTGCTACTTTTAACTTTTAACAAATGTTCTGATTATTTTACCTGTAAGCTTAAGTTCTGCCATTTTTACCATTTAGATACTGTTTTGCTATTATACCTTTGAGCTACTGCTCTGTTGCTTTTACCTTTTAGCTACTGTTTTGCTTTTTTTTTACTTTTTAACTACTATTCAGCTACCTTTTAGTTACTGCTCTGCTGCTTTTACCTTTTAGCTATTGTTTTGCTATTTTTACTTTTTAGCTACTGTTCTGCTCTTTCTACCATTTAACTACCGGTAATGTTCAGCTACCTTTTAGCTACTGTTCTGCTACATTTACCTGTTCTGCCACTTTTACCATTTAGCTACGTTTTTGCTATTTTTACCCTTTAGCTACTGTTCTGCTACTTTTACCTTTAAGCTAGCTTTTAACTAACCTTTCAAAAGTTTTAGCTCTCAGCAAGTCTTTTGATACTTGTAGCTCTTCTATAGCCTTCTACAACTTTTAGCTGTTAGCTCTAACTGCGCTACCTCCAGCATATAGCTAGCCAGTTGATCATTTTAAATTCTAACTATCCTTTTGCTATGTTTAGCTTTAGTTATCTCTTTGCTAATATTAACGTTCAGCTGACCTTTTGCTGCTTTTAGCTTGAGTTTTGATACCTTTAGTTTCTAGTTAGCACAAAAAATTCAGCCCTCATCATTCACTCTGAGCTCCTGGTTTGAATTAGAAGAAAAACAGCCAAAATAAAGATTTTAAACGTATCTAAACACATCTCAAACAAAACATCTGTTTTATTGTTTTTTAATGAATAAGTGGATCATCAGATCTGTTCTGGTCAGCTTGACCTCAGTCTGAAGTTTGTTCTGTTAGTTTCAGAGCTGACTGGACCCACGGGGACATCAGGGTTCTTCACGTCCACCTGATTCTACACCGAGCTGATTTGAGGCTCACGGTAAAGACGTGTGGAGATGGTGAGGTTTTATGGGTTAAAGTCCTCGGACACAGAGCTCTGTGAAATCTTCAATCTCTCATTTTCTTGTCTCGTGTGGTTTCTGTTAGCCTACAGCTAAATATGTTCAATAGGAGTTGTGTGGCTCTGAGTTGTGTAAATGTGGTTTAAAGTGACTGAAGCAGTCAGGATGATCTTTAATGTCAGATGTGAACAGGCTCCGAGAACCTTCAGGACCTGTGTCAATGATTCTCTGATCATCACCTTTAGTTCCCTCGGCGCCGTCGCTCTCCAGGGCAACGCTCTGCTTGTAGTCCCTGACCCGCAGCACGCCCTTCTTCTCCTCACATGGCACCTCTGGGCAGCTCCTGGCCAGGATCACCCAGATCTTCCTCCCATCCACGTCCAGGTCTCTCCTTTCCCTCATGTACACATACTGGGTTGCGAACTGTTAGGGAACATGGACATGTGAAAGGACTCTACCGGAGATGGAGTCCAGAGACAGACGGGACATGTGAGGAGTGAAGGATACGTCTCTGTTGGACATGGGGAATGGGTATTTCACTTCCCAGTAGATCACGGTTTGTCCATCAAAGTCCATCTCTTTGAGCTCTGAATTAATAAAAGACAAAGAGAAGGTAAGAAGTTACATGTAGATGCATTAATTAATTTATATATTTATTAATTAATGACATTGTTGAAGCATTGGATGCTAAGGATTTTTGTGCTGCACTTTTCTTAGACCTGTCTAAAGCTTTTGACACTGTGGACCATGACATCTTGTGTCATAAGCTCTCAGAAATTGGTTTCTCAGAACACACCATTGGTTGGTTCTCTAACATAAGTTGTGAGATCTCCGACTTCCTGTTTAAAAACAGCATCCCTTTGGTTTTATCGGCATTTAGGACAAGTTTGAGACGGAACAAATCTGAGTGGATGATGTCAAAGGCGGACTGCAAAAGCTGGAAAGCCTTATCAACTGTTTTAGCTCAACAATGAGCAACTGTGTCATCAGCATAGAAATGTAAGGATGCATCAGGGATGCTCTGACCTACATTACCCGTGTAGATTGTAAAGAGGGTGGTCCTAAGACTGAGCCTTGTGGTACACCATTGTTAACTCGTGGTGTACCACATTCATTCATTCATTCATTGTTCATTGTTAACTGTTAAATAAGTGGAGGAAGTACCATTATATTGAACACATTGCCTCTGATCTGAAAGATAGTTAGTGCTTAGAATGCATGTTGAGGATGACTCTCAGCTACTACCACACATTTAGTTCAGTTTCTGTCATATTTAGGCATTTTGGTGTTGTTGATGAGCTAAGGTGAGTCCGAACGTTACATTTTATATCTGCAGCTAACAATTACTTTCAGTTAGTTTCATTCAAATCTATTCACTTATTTTTTTTAGATATTTTGCTAACACTACAATCAAATAAACACGCGCACGAGCAGAAACGCTTGTCGCCTTCGACAGTAGCGACACAGACGGCCTAAGGGGATGAAACATGGATCATTTACGCTACAAGTGTTGCAATAAATAAAAAGTTATAACAGTCTAAATGTTGTTAACGTCGTCAGAATGTTCTTGTCAATAAAGTTTAAGTTCAAAAGATTGTTCCGGTGCACCAGGTACTTTGTGTGTCGTCAAATTAAAACGCTGGGAACTTGTAATAAAACTAATAAATCTACACATAAACCGCACCGACGGGCTGAAATAAACAAAGTAAAACACAAATATTAAGTAAAGTACTACAAAGTTCTGAAAGTAGAGGCAACATGAAAAGTATTTTATCAATGTGACAAACAATGTTTCATAAACTGAAGCTGCTTCTAAAGTTTTGACTTTAATTCACCTGCAGGCTGCAGGAGCATGTGACCCGTTTGTTGCTGTGCCCGGAAACAAAACGGAGGACGTTAAAACGGCGCTGGGGTAAAAACGTCTGAATGTTAGCCTCACTGGAGCCACGGCTGATTTTTACCTTTCACGTATCCGTCCCAGCGTCTGCGGTACGTCAGGTCCATGTAGACGTCTGCACACTGACCGGGGCTGCAGGCGGACAGAACGCCGGACACTTTGTACTCGTACAGTCCAGTTTCCTGCAAACAGCAGAGACAAGTCTCTGGTTGGTCCAGAAAACAGCGCAGCTCGAGGTGAGAGGCGCCTCAGAGGACGGGTCAGTCTGAGGGTCCGGACTGGAAACCACCACGTCTGTGTCGTTAGCTGAGCTGTGGTCCACGGAGTTCTGCAGCTGAATCAAGTCCTGTTGGCCTCCTTCCATCTTTGTTCTCACTAAAACATCTAAAGCGAAACCTTCAGTGGAGACTATAAGAGTTGTGACAAAGGGATCATTTTTTCCGTTATTTTTTTTGGTGTTTTTCTGACAAAGACAGCACGGTTGCTCAGTTGGTAGAGCTGATGTCTCTCAGCAAGAAGGTCGTGGGTTCAAATCCCGACCCGGGACCTTTCTGTGTGGCGTTTGCACGTTCTCTCTGTGCATGTGTGGGTTTTCTCCAGGTACTCTGGTTTCCTCCCACAGACCAAAAACATGATCAGAAGATCGCTGGTTCAACTCCCGGTACCGACAACATAGCAGGTGTGGGCGTCCCACTAATCCCACCCACATTCTTGATATCAAGAATGTGGGTGGGATTAGTGGGGCTCAACGGGATTAACCTGTCTAAATAAAGGTTGAATGAATGAATATGAAAAGTATTTTAACAATGTGATAAAAAATGTTTCATAAACTGAAGCTGTTTCTAAAGTTCTTACACCCACACCTGCCTCCACCGTCATTTGTCCCATTCTGGGTCCCTAAGCAAGGTCCTCCCCCATCTGCTCCCCCAGGTGCCCTAGATAGAAACTCTCTGCTCCACACAGAGGCTGCGGTAGCTCAGTGTCTGTGGTTGCGTCAGGAAAAACATCTGGCATTAAAAATAATTACCAAGTCTTCATGCGAGTTAGTTCACTGTGGCGACCCCTGAAGAAGGAGCAGCCGAAAGAAAAAGAAAGGTATATTTATATTTATACACACACATGATGTATATATATATATATATATATATATATATATATATATATATACATATATATATATATATATATATATATGTATATGGTAATTCAGTCTTTTGTCTCCTAATATTTTCTTTCTCATTCCTCTTTGCATTTTAATCTCCTTCTTTAATTCCATAACTTCATCTGATGTTAAAAGTTCAGCATCAGCAGATTTCAGGAATTCAACTCTCAACCCTGTGATTCTGCAGAAAATGTTCCACCGTTGTGAAAATGTAGAATTACTGAAATATTTAATTTAAGCTCAAATATTTTTGCCTTTTGAATAAAATTACCAAAATAAAACGGTCAGAATGAAGTTTTATTAAAGTTGTTTTTTAACATTCATCTCAAATGAGTTCTGCCCCGAGAGTTCTTGTCATTTGAAGAAGGCATGGGTTCCTTCTTTAATTCTTTATGACCCTTTTTCTTTCATTTACAGCCGGTTCCTCCCTGACAGTTGGACCAGCTGGGCCGGTTCGGGTTTCCGGGTCTTTCCTGCTCCAGCCGCCAGGACCTGAACTATTTTCAGCTGGATCAGGCGGGTTGGGGGTCAAATGTACTAAAGGTGAGGATAAAACAGGTGCAGGGGGCTCTGCAGATGTTAACCTGCACAGCGGCGGTGTTTGGGGGTGGGGGTGGGGGGACCCACCTTGTCATGGAGCCGGTGGATCTGGAGCCCCGAGGCCTCGGTGAAGAGCTCCCAGCCTCCGAGCAGCTGCGGCTCGTCCAGCTCCTTCCAGGACCTCTGAAACTCCTCATCCGTGAACCCCAGAGACATGACGGCCCAGCTGCTCACACACACACACACACACACACACAGACCAGCTGACCGCGGAACCACACTTCCGGCTAGCAAACAAAGCCCTGTCACAATAAAAGCCTGATAGTTTCAGCTGTGAGTCTGGAGCTTGTCTGGGAGAGTCTTCACAATAAAATGCATCAGAATAAAGTCCAGCTTTGTGATTTTAGTTCTACTGCTTGACTTTATTATTTTTTAAAGACACTGACCTGCTTTCACCTGCATTCAGTCACATGTTCACAGACACAGTTTGAGTAAAGTTTATTGTCAGTTTTAGTTTCCACAGTAAAGTCTGCAGCCTCTTCAAGGTTAAATTAACGGAGACCAAATTATTCTCAGTAAGATGGTAGATGAAAGTAATTTATTTCATATTTTGTTTATGGAGCTGCAGCATATATTCTTTAAAGGAGGCATGGTGGCAGAAATTAAAACAGATTTATGGAACATTTTGAACACAAAACATCAAAAATAAAATAAAGTTTATGAAGGAATACAGAAAAAATGAAGCAAAGTTAAAGATAGTATAGTATGGCATGGCACAGCACAGTAAAGTAAAAACTACATTTCAGTACAGCACATCACAGCATAGTATAGTTTAGTATAATGAACAGTACAGCGTCGTAAACAGTATAGTATAGTATAGTACAGTACAGTATAATGTGATATAGTTTATTATAGTATACCAAATCAAAAACATGCATGTTAGGCTGCCTTCCTTGCAAAAGAGATCTATTATCTCAATGGGATTTGCCTGATTTGTTAAATAAAGGTTAATAAATAAAATAAATAGTATAGTATAGCATAGTGCAGAATAGTACAGTAAAGTACTTTACAGTATTATATTCACTCAACCTTTATTTACACATGTTAATCCCATGATGGTATAGTATAGTGTAGAATAGTACAATATAGTATTGTATAGTATATTATAGTGTAGTATAGTATATTATTGATTAGTATAATACAGTACAGTATAGTATGGTACAGTATAATGGTATATTATAGTTTATTATTATAGTATATAGTATGGTATAGTACAATACAGTATAATATAGTTTTGTCTAGTACAGTACAATATAATATGGTATAGTATAGTAAGTACAGTACAGTATAATATGGAATAGTATAGTACAGTATAATATAATATGGTATAGTATAGTACAATACAGTACAGTATAATATGGTATAGTATAGTATAGTATAGTATAGTATAGTGTAGTGTAGGATAGACATGTTTGGCCTGCCTTTTTTAGTTATACTTTTGTTATTTGCGATCCTCCAATGATACAATACAATACAATACAATACAATACTATACTATACTATACTATACTATACTATACTATACTATACTATACTATACTATACTACACTACACTACACTATACTATACTATATGCCGTCATGTTGTAAGTTTTCCATTCAACAAGTTTTTGTCTTCAGAAAAAAATGTACTTAATATAAATTGAAGTGCAACAAATGAAGGGTGTTATATTTTGAAACGTCCAACCGGATACAGTTTTTTTCTCTGATTATCTCGAGCTTGACACAGCGGTCGGTACTTCAGCTGGTCCCTCTGAATGAGGATGGTAGTTCGGCCCACAGATCCGGTTCTGAGGACTTCACAGGGAGACTGGTCTCATGAATGGAGTGCGAGTCCCGGCCGCAGCCAGAACCTGCTGGTTTTCAGCTTTAAACTCTGAGGAAAAACAACTTTAATGAACTTTTCATGGACTGAGACTGACTGAACAGTTCACAGCGACATGGATCAGGACTGGGAGGTAAAATGATTAAAACGTTGTTTCAGTGTGAAGCTTATTAACAAGATTTATTATCCTACAACAACAAAAATATTATTTAAACTGATCCGAGGTGAAAGTCACAGCTGATTCACATGTATGAAGAACTTTTAAAAGAATGATTAATTTAAGGCATGAAACAAATTTGTGTTTGACATGAAAAACTGCTTCACAGCCAGATTTGATCTTTTATATGCAATTCCTTTACGTTTAAATATTTAAAAGCTACAATTTATACTTTTTTCTTTAATCTTTCATTTTCACCGGAAGATAATTTATTTGTAAGTTTAAAATAAATTAATCCACCTTTTTTTTTTTCTTTTCTTTTTAAAGAATCACAGTTTTGTGTCTTAGTTATTTCTGATCACTGAGTGAAAAAGTTTAACTCAAAACCGAACAGAAAAAAACTTTCTTGTTCTTGGACATAATGAGTTGTTCAGAGAAGAGACGAGCAGTCAGCAGAACTTATGTCTGCAGGTTGAACCCACATTTGTTCTGATCTTTGAGGGTCGTAGGGCCTTTTGCTTTTCTTTGACCGCTGCTTTGAGCTTTTTAAATTCAAATTTTACTAAAACATACAGATTAAAACTAGTCTGAAGATTTGTTAAACAGACAGATGTGGAGATTGTAATTCATTTATTTAAAACGTTACAAATCTGTCAACAAATCAGAATGCTCTCATAAAAATGTTAATTTATGTCTTTATTGCTTAACAATTATTGCCCCATGCTTCTGCTATGAATTTTTCTTGTAGTTAAAACAAATAGATTTTTTTTAAATCTTTATATTAAACATATTAGCACACTGTAATAATTAAAAACAAAAACATTTCCACTTCACCAGTAAATGTTGAGTTTTTTGTTTTTGTTTTGTTGTAATAAAAAGCAGCAACATTTTCCAACAAAGCACTGAAGGAATGAGTTTGTAAAAAGCTTCTTTATAGTTGACAACAAAGTTTATGCTCAATCATCCAGGTACCAAATCCAATAATTCTCAGTCCGGTCATCTGGACAGTTTCTTTTCTTTTTTTTTTTTTTTTTAATAGAAATGTTTCGCCCTCTATCCGGAGGGCTTCATCAGTCAGAGGAGTTCCAATAAACTGTTTCCCCACCAAGCAGTGAACTCCTTAAGTGGACCAACCAGTTTGCTGTAGCTTAAAAATGATTCCTTTTTAGTGACTTGCAGTGATTTGCACGTGGGTTCAGCTCAACTTCTGCAGTTCTGAGAGCTTGGAACATCTTTTTTTTTTTTTTTTGGAATCAAGAAAACTGCTTAGAGAAGCAAAACTTCTTCAGCAGACAAGAACAAAAGTCCAGCAGATTTATTTCTGTCTTCTTTCGGACGTCTCGTAACAAACTACATCTTTCTGTTGGTCCCACCTCACCCAGTTTATCAGAACGATGTGGATGTTGGTCTGAATGTTATTCACAAACGACAGTTTAAACTTCTTTTTCTTTGCTGAGGTTGTTTTAATGTCATTCATCATCTTGTCCCATTTGTTTTGTTTGTTTCCTTGACTGATGAAGCCTTCTGGATGGAAGGTGAAATGTTTCAGCACAAAAAAAAAAAAAGAAACTGTCCGGATGACCTGACTGAAAATTGTTGGATTGTATACCTGGATTATTGAGCATGGACTTTGTTGGTTTTGAACCAGTTTGACACGACTGTCGACGAGGAAGAGGGCCAGCACCAGAGGAGGGGGCGTGCCAAAGAGACCATCTTAGCATCAACATAACTGGTTTGTTCCACTTTGGAGTAAGCTGTTGGGGGAGAATCAGTTTTGTGTTGTGTGTTTCCTTGACTTATGAAGCCTTCTGGATGGAAGGTGAAACATTTCAGCACAAAAAAAAAAAACTGTCCAGATGACCTGACTGAAAATTGTTGGATTGTCTCATTTATCTTGTGATGCAGCTCCGAGGGGATAAAGCTTTTTCTAAAAAATAATAATCTCTGGATTGATTTGCAGCTGCTCGTTAGACAGACGCCCTGATCTGCTCTCCTCAAACCTCCTTTTAAAACATCCATTAACTTTGAGGCCTAGACAGCTGGAGAGGTTGACTTGGACCTCACGCAGCTTTTGTTGATCTGTTTTAATTGTTTCCTGTTGATTCTCCTGGAGATGTGCGTACTCCATGTTTTGGTCTGACCTGTTGGTGATTTTTAGGAGCTGTATAAATAAAGTAGTGTAATTTCTATCTTCTGACGTCGTAGATGTTCAGAACTGTCAGTTTGGTCAAAAAATAAAGACGTAACGTGGAGGTAGAGGCATCATGGGCTTCAGAATCAGAAAATCTTTGTTGTTATAGTAACAAGTATAACAACATTAAATGTTGTCTCTGTGACTTCAAAAGATAAAAAGAAAAAAGGTACACAACAAGGAGAAAATCAATGATTTACACAATAAAAAAAAACTGTCGCTTCAAGGAATTATTGCAGGTGGTTATTGCACAGGGTGGCACGCTGTTGCCTCTCAGTGACAAAGGTCGCTGGTTCAAATCCCAGCCAGGGGGACTTTCTGGGTGGAGTTTACATGCTCTCTCGTGCTGCGTGGGTTTTCTCCAGGTGCTCCGGTTTCCTTCCACAGACCAAAAACATGCATGTTAGACTGACTTGTAACTCTAAATAGTCCCTAGGTGAGAGAGAGAATGGTTGTTTGTCTCTATGTGTCCCTGTGATGGACTGGAGACCTGTCCAGGTGTCCCTGTGATAAACTGAGACCTGTCCAGTTGTCCCCTGCCTCTCGCACAGTGACTGCTGGATATGGGCACTACTGATTCCTGCAACCCAAAAAGGAAAAAGCTTGTAAAGATGGATGGATGGATGCATGCATGGATGGATGGATGCATGGATGGAAGGATGGATGCATGGATGCATAGATGGAAGAATGGATGGATGGATGGATGGATGGATGGATGGATGCATGGATGGAAGGATGGCTGGATGCATGGGTGGATGGATGGATGGATGGATGGATGGATGGAAGGATAGAAGGATGGATGGATGGATGGATGGATGCATGGATGGATGATGGATGGATGGATGGATGGATGGATGCATGGATGGATGGATGCATGGATGGATGCATGGATGGATGATGGATGGATGCATGGATGGAAGG